GATTTCTGCCAAACTGGAAAACAGAAAAGCCCACTCACATAAACCCCTCATTCTAAGAATGAGAAGGTGGGGAGGGAGGGTTCACAGGCAGCCACCAGTGGTACAGAAATCTGTCCAACACTCGCATCAGATGTTTCTGTTCTTCAAAATCCCTCTGCCCACCCTTGTTACTTAGGGTTTCCTTCTCTGGCCCTTTCATCAAAGGCCTGAGTCTCACTTTTTTGTTTGTTTGTTTTGTTTCTGAACCACACTGGGCAATACTCAGAACCAGCTCCTGGCTCTGCACTCAGGAATTACTCCTGGTGGTGCTCAGGGGAGCATCTGGGGTGCCAGGGATCAAACCTGGTCAGTCAAGTGCAAGGCAAACACCCAATCTGCTGTAGACTATCACTTCAGCCCTGAGTCTCATACCCCTCCCTTTCTACTCCCTTCTGTGTCTGTCTGTTTCTCTGTTTCTCTGTTTCTCTGTTTCTCTCTCTCTCTCTCTCTCTCTCTCTCTCTCTCTCTCTCTCTCTCTCTCTCTCTCTCTCTCTCACACACACACACACACACACACACACACACATACATATCCCGCCCCTCTCTGGAGCCTCCTCCACAGCTGAAACCAAGACCTGGGAATTTCACCTCCCAGGCAATCCCAGAGGCTTTCCAGAAGCCACTGCTCCCTAAGTAATGAGAAGTATTTTCCAAAGACCGTTCCTCTCAAAAATGAACTCGAGGGCCTCCTGGAAAGAAAATAAAAGGAGCCCCCACTTGGTTGTAAAGTGCCAGGGATGCATGTTCAACCTTCCTTTCCTTCCATCCGTTCCTCTGGTTCTACCCCATTGTGCAATATATTGTTGATCAACAATCATTTCATCATGGTCAAGGCGTTTCTGCCCCTGCTCACCCTCCCAGCTTGGTTGAAAGAACACCCTCCAACAATAGTCTGCGATACCGCCTTTCCCCTATTGCTGCGGGAGCTTGGAGACTGTCTAGAGCCAAGTTCTGGCTCCCCGGCTCGCTCACTGTGTGACTTTGTGGAAACTACTTAACCTCTCTGACCCCCATCTGTAGAATGAGGGCAGAAACTCCTCACAGATTTCTTGGAAGGACTAAATGAATGTATTCACATAAATTATTTAGCATGAGCAGTAAGGGCTCAGAAATATGAGCTGGTACCATTTTTGGTCTCTTTCCTCAAATAGCCTGATTCTATTAGACGACAAGAGAGCTTACCCTATACACTAATGAAACCAGCCTTGAGCTAGCAACCAAAGCGGCAGGCTCAGGGCTCGGTGTGGTTCAAGTCCCACACCCCTTGCAGAGCCTGGGTTGCAGAGGACAGCCAGCAGCAAGACACTGACTCAGCTGGAACCTGCATTCAAAAATGGAGAAGAGGGTGGGGACATGAGGACAGGGCAACCCAACCCAGAGGAGCCTGAAAGGGGAGGACCACACATTGGCCTGGATCTAGCTCATGTTCAGGTCTGAGTCTGGAAAGCCCCTAGGCTGGTGAGCACCACAGACTCCCCTCCCCCCAGCTCCCACAGAACACTCATGCCCCCAGAACGGGATGGATCTGTCAGCATCCCCCCTCCAAAGTTCCCTGGGACCTACCCCCAGAGCATGAAGCTTGCCCTCTAGGGTTGGCGGAGTCCTTGATGAAAGGGACCAAGTGGTCTGTCTGGTTCAGGCTGTGGCTCTGGGCACGGGGCTGATTGCCACAGGCCGTCTGCCTCCAGCCTCTGGCCCTCGCAGGAGCCAGCTGGTTCAACTGCTTTGCAATAGCCAGGGGAGAAACAGGGTGAGGAATGCAGTGGGAGAGCCGGGCCTGGGCTGGGTGAAACCAGGACCTTTCAAGGTGGGCCTCGTGAGGGGGAGGAAGAGGAAGAGGAAGGAAGCCCTGAGAGGGTTGTCAGGCCTGCTCTAGGGGCACACCCTTAGCAGAGAAGAGGAGCCTGGGCCTGGACACTGAGGAACCAGGCAGTGAAGGGGGGGTGGGTCAGGAAAGGAGATTTGAATTCACCTAAGAACTACTGACAGGGCATAGTTCTGCAGCCCAGCCTGCTCCCATGAGGCCACAGTCATCCATCTGTCTGTTCGAACCCTCCCTGCAGACTTGGGTCTCCCTCTGGAGATTCCAGTTTTGCTCATAAAACTGGAGCAAATGGAGAGAGAGGCTGTGTGCTTTTACTTTCTGTCCTGCAAGGACCTTTGAAGAAAGCGCCTTCTCAGTGCTCTTTTGGCCCTCTCTCTACTACCCCACACCCCCATCTGCTTTGCAGAAGCGTGTACTTAAATGAGGAAGCAAGGCAACTGGGGGAGGCAATCCCAGTCCAGGGGAAGTAGATGAAGAGCAATTGCTAAGAAGTAGAAAAGGTTCTGGGGACTCAACTCCAGAGAGGATCCTGGAGACTGCTCTTTTGCTTGCTTGCTTGTTTGTTTGTTTGTTTGAGTGATGCTCAAAGGTTAGTGCTGGGTCTGAACTCAGGAATTACTCCTGGCTTTCGGGGGACCATATGGGATGCCAGGGATCAAACCCAGCTTGGCAAAGCAATTGCCCTATTCACTATACTATTGCTCTGACCCCTGACTCTGCTCTTTTGGGAGGGATCTACCTCCTCCTTGAAGAGTCCAGTTAGATCATCTGGAGGGACATGGGACTGGCAGGACCTCTTTGGGCCAGGGGCTTGGGGTCAGATGCTTGCTCAGGGCCAACAATGCAGGACTGAAGCAAGAGTCTTCTTCCAGCTCTGCCCCGAAGAAGGGGCTGAGCCCAATGGCTTCTGAGCTTTGTTTTGTCTTGGTGCCATATCAGACACTGCTCAGAGGCTGCTCCCAGCCTGGTGGTGCCAGAGTTTGAAGCCAGGAAAAGCAGTCACTCCAGCTGGTTGATCTGTCTCCATGGTCCTGTTTGGCTTTATATTTTAGTAGGTTTCTCTCTCTCTCCCTCTCTCTCTCTCTCTCTCTCTCTCTCTATATATATATATATATATATATATATATATAATATTGTGGTTAAAAACTTTGACACAAGAGCTACAGTCTTGAAATCCAATCAGGAATAGCTTTGCAGAGATCTGTCTCACAGTGATTCAATAAAAAAAGCTAAATAAAAGAGCTGTCACTGTCACTGTCCTCCCATTGTTCATCGATTTGCTCGAGCGGGCCCAGTAACATCTCCATCGTGAGACTTGTTACTGTGTTTGGCATATCGAATACGTCACGGGTAGCTTGCCAGGCTTTGCCGTGAGGGCGAGATACTCTCGGTAGCTTGCCGGGCTCTCCAAGAGGGGCAGAGGAATCGAACCCGGCTCTACCAGGCTGGCTGCGCGCAAGACCCAATCGCTGCACTCACTCCAGCCCAAATAAAAGAGCTAGTCTTCTAAAATGTTAAATGTACAACACATTGTTGCAGGTTATAGAGGGAATGTCAGGACTTCATACAGCTGATCTCTAGTGCTTACTCCTCTTACCTAACTGAGTCTTTGTGCTTAGTAATTAGTATCTTCTCATTCCCTCTTTTCCCAGTCCTGGTAACCATTCCACTCTGATTTTATGACTCTGACCCCAGGAAATCCCTGTCGAAGCAGAATCATGCAGAATTTGTCTTTGGAGATTGGCTTCTGACCTACAATTTAATGTCCTCAAGGCTCCCTTATGCTCTATCACTGCAACATTTCCTTCTGTAATTTTAAATTTTATTTGGGAGGGGGTTGGGCCACACCCAGAGGTGTTCGGGGCAGACTCTTGGCTCTGCACTCAGGGATCACTCCTGGCAAGGCTCAGGGGACCATACGGGGGGTGTTGGGGATCAAACTGGGATTGGCGCATACAGGCAAGAACTCTACCAGCAGTACTATCACTTCATCCCATTTTATTTTTGAAAGCTAAAAAAGCAGTCCATGTTTACATACACTACATCTGTGTACTTTTTTTTTAGATAGGGGGCATTTTTAATCTACACCTGTTTTGTTCTGGGCTTATTCCGGTCAGAGTCAGGGGACCATATGCTGTGTGAGAATTCCGGGAGAATTCAATCACAATTGGCTGCCTGCAAGTCAGGTGCCTTGCCCGCTGTACTACTTCTCTAGCTCAGTTTTCTCGATCCTTTCATTTACCCATAGACACTTCGGTTTCCACGCCTTGTCTGCTGTGAAAAGTGGGAATACAGGAATGCTTCATGGCCCCATCAATGACAGTGGGGCTACAGCAAATTAAAGTGTTGCTACAGCGATTGTAGCCTTGCACATCCCGGCCGTGCACATCCAACGCTTCCCACGGCTCAGTTGGCTTTTCTGCCCCCGCCTGGCACAGAACCCTAAACACGCCACCCACTTAGCCTAACCCTGACTTCCAAGTCCGGCCTGGGACTTTTTTTTTTTTTTTTTTTGCTTTTTGGGGATGCTCAGGGGTTACTCCTGGCTCTGCACTCAGGAATCACTCCTGGCGGTGCTGGGGGACCCTCTGGGATGCTGGGCCTCGAACCCAGCTCAGCTGCATGCCAGGCAAACGCCCTCCCCGCCGTGCTCTCGCTCCAGCCCCTGGGACTTTTCTTGGCCTTTCTTTCCTGACTTCCCCAGCGTGGTCTCAACCGCGGGGCGTGATGTGGCCGAGGTCCCTGCATGCCTGGTTCTGCGGCCGCGCTGCCCAGTGCTGCGTGACCGTCGGCGGCGGCGGCGGGGACGCGGGGCCGGGTCTGGCCCGGAGGGCGCGTCCCACCCGGTCCTCCCGGCGCTCCGCCACCCACAACCCCGGCGGGGGCGGGCGCGGGGGCGGGGCGCCGCCTGGCCGGGTCCCAGGAGGAGTGGCCGCGGCGGCCCGGCTGCTGCCGACACTCGGGGCTGGACCGGCCGCGGACACCGCGCCACGCGCCCCGGCTGCGCCTGTCCCGCGCGCACCGGCGCCCGAGCCTAGGCGCGCTCGCCGTCGCGTCCCGGGGTGGGCCCGAGAGAGCCGCCGCGGGAAGCCGCCCCCCGCTCCCGCCCGCGCCCACCGCCTGCCCCCTCCTCCCCATGGGTCCCGAGGCCGCGTCCCCGTGGCGGGACCGCCTGGCGCGCCTGCAGGCGAGGACCTGGATCGAGCCGGTGGTGGCGTCCACGCAGGTGGCCGCGTCGCTCCACGAAGCGGGGCTGCTCCTGGTGGTGAAGGCGTCCTTCGGGGCCCCCGCCGCGGCCAACCACAGCGCGCCCAGCCCGTCGCCCCGCGGGGCCCTGGAGGACCGCCAGCAGAAGGCCATCTCCAACTTCTACATCGTCTACAACCTGGTGGTGGGCCTGACCCCGCTGCTGTCCGCCTACGGGCTGGGCTGGCTCAGCGACCGCTACCACCGCAAGGTGTCCATCTGCGTGGCCCTGCTGGGCTTCCTGCTCTCGCGCCTCGGGCTGCTGCTCAAGGTGCTGCTGGACTGGCCCGTGCAGGTGCTGTTCGGCGCCGCGGCCCTCAACGGGCTGTGCGGCGGCTTCTCGGCCTACTGGTCCGGGGTCATGGCCCTGGGCTCGCTGGGCTCCTCCGAGGGCGGCCGCTCCGTGCGCCTCATCCTCATCGACCTCATCCTGGGCCTGGCGGGGTTCTGCGGGAGCATCGCTTCCGGGCACCTCTTCAAGCAGATGCCCGGCCACTCGGGCCAGGGCCTGGTGCTGACGGCCTGTAGTGTCAGCTGCGCCTTTTTCGCCCTTTTCTACAGCCTCTTCGTGCTGAAGGTGCCCGACTCAGTGGCCAGGCCCAGCAAGACCCTGGCGGCCGTGGACACTTTGTCCGGCGTGGTCGGCACCTACCGGACCCTAGATCCCGACCAGCCGGACAAGAGCAGTGTGGAGGGTCCGCTGCCCTCTCCCGAGAAAGCCCAGCCCAAAAAAACCATCATTGCGCTGCTGTTTGTGGGGGCCATCATCTATGACCTGGCGGTGGTGGGCACCGTGGACATCATGCCCCTGTTTGTGCTGAGGGCCCCTCTCAGCTGGAACCAGGTCCAGGTGGGCTACGGCATGGCTGCGGGCTACACCATCTTCATCACCAGCTTCCTGGGCGTGCTGGTCTTCTCCCGCTGTTTCCGGGACACCACCATGATCATCATTGGCATGGTCTCCTTCGGGTCCGGGGCCCTGCTCTTGGCCTTCGTGAAAGAGACGTACATGTTTTATATTGGTGAGTCGGGCGTTCTGGGAGAGGCAGGCCAAGGTGTGCTCCCCTGGCCCGCATCCCTAGGTGGATGCTCAGGGTGCTGTGGTCCAGGTTACCGCCCACCCCCCACCCAGCTCAGCAGGAGACTTTACCTGGACGGTCCCATGTGCTGTGCCCTCTGGATTGTGTTCTGAGATGCTCCTAGCTGGAGCCTGTGGCTAGAGGAGGTCAAGGCAGAGAAATAAACAGGAATAGCATGAGATGGAGGAAACAGGATTAAGTTTCTTCTTAAGCTTTTTTTTAATGGGGGAGGCGGTGGGAAGGAGACAGGAGACATAACCCAGCAGTTCTCAAGACTTGCTCCTGGCTCTTTTCTCACGGACCATTCCAGGCAGGGAACCAGGGGACCCTCTGTGGTGACAGGGATCAAACCAAAGCTGGTTTAATGCCAAGCATGTGCCCTACCCACTGTACTGTCTTTCCACCCCCTTCTCCCTAGGTTTCATGGGCTACAACATTCATTTACTTCCAAAGATCCCTAAGTTGGCATCCTTTCAAGACTAAGCAAAGGCTTTTAAAGAAGTGGATTAAAATTCTCCATAAACACTATTCATGTTTATGAAAAGTGATAATCCCTCAGGAAGCTACCCGGTTTCCATCTGAGGATACAGTTTAAAGTCACCACCAGCAGAGAGCTGGCGCCCAGTGCCGAGGCAGAGTGCTCTAGCATGCCAGAAAGTTCTCCATTCGATCTGCAATGTTTGCCACTGGCCCTGGCGCATTTGAAATGAGGCTAATGCCACACGCGAGAGGGGTGTCACATTTTATTTCATTTAAATGGGCACACACGGCTGGTGGCTGGCGTATTTGAAAGAACACATCTAGCTGCTACCAGAGGCCAAACCTTTCTGAGGTCACACACACCTCAAAATGCATCTAAGGAAACGGCTGTGACCTCTTGCCTTAGGTTGGAAGCCAGTTCAATGGGCATGTGCAAAGGCCAGAGCTCCCCTCTCCCATGTCTCTTGTTTCTTCTTGGGTCTGTGTCTGTCCTGTGGGGGGCACGGAGAAGCACCTTTGGTCCCTTTGGTGACATCAGCATCACGTCCTGACACCACCCATCACCCTTCCTCTGTGTGTCCTGCCACCTGGCAGCTGGCTCTCCTATGTCTGAGCTCTGGAGAGTCTGTGTGGTCCCCGGGAGCCACTGAAGGCCAGCAGAGAGGCCACTTACGCAGGGCAAACCCCACAGAGGAGGGGGGATGAGAGTTCGGAAAGAGTCACTCGCTTTCTTCTGCTTCACTTCTTGGGCTACAGTGAGGCGTGTGCTTGTGTGATTTCTCCCCAGCTCGGGCCGTCATGCTGTTTGCGCTCATCCCCATCACAACCATCCGATCGGCCATGTCCAAACTCATCAAGGGCTCCTCCTACGGTGAGTGCAAGGGATCTCTCTGCTGCCCTCTGCCGGGATCTCCCAGGCTTGGCTGGAGGCCCAGGGCTCCCGCCAGCAGAGGATGATGCCCAGGATGTGGAATTCCCCAAGCGATCTTGAACCTGCTCGGAACACACTGGGGTCCAGCCAGGGCAGAGGAGTGGAAACAGGACGGTGGGCACGGGAGTTGGGGAGACACACTGGGAAAGTCAGCCACAGGAAGAGGCAGCAAGATGGACACCGGGCAGGGAGCAGGAGTCTGCTCAGACTCGGCAGAACACGCCCGCACACTGTCTTGCTAACTTGTGTCCTTCCCATAGGAAAGGTGTTTGTCATCCTGCAGCTGTCCCTGGCTCTAACCGGGGTGGTGACATCCACGGTGTACAACGAGATCTATCAGCTCACCCTGGAGAAGTTCGTGGGCACCTGCTTTGCGCTCTCCTCCTCCCTCTCCTTCCTGGCCATCATCCCGATCGGGTAAGGCAGGAACAGGGTCTGCTGTTTGGGCTGGGGCCCCTGGGGTTCAGGCTCAGGAAGACCATCTCCAACATATTGTCCACGCTGTGCCAAGACATCACTATTTTCAGCACTTAGGAAGTGGGTGCTTCGCAGGTACTTTCACAAATGGGGAAAAAAATCCTGTTACTTGTTCCCCTAACCTAAAAATCTGGTAGTTTGGGAATTTCCCAAAGTCACAAGTAATAGACAGTGTGTCTCACTGCCTAGCAGTTTGGCAATAAATGTATTTATAGGCGCCTGGGACACTTCCTTGTAATCCGAGGCTGGCTCGGATTAGAAACCCTCTTGAACACACTTGGCCTTCTACTCACTCCTTTAAGGGAAAAGTGATCCTCACTCACTTCCTAGTGCTTTCTTCCCACTGCCTCCCTGGGGCTTGGCACCTGGCACTGTCTGTTCTCAGTGCCCCTGGAAGTTCATGGCCACTGGGCCGTGTGAGATCCCAAACCGGGCCTTGCACAATTGCCTTGATCTCTTGGGCGGAACGGTCTCAAGTCTGGGAGGAAGGCTGGAGAAGCCAGGAGAGGTACTCGGTCTTCATCACAACCAACCTCAAGAAACAGTTTGTTCTTCCATTGGCCTTGCTAGAGAAATCGGTGCAAACCACAGATAAGACGTGATTCTGAAAGTACTAGAGGCCACGCTCACACTTACCACACAGGGAACTGAACCCAGAGCCTCCCATATGCTCTACCACTCACCTACATCCCCTGTCTCTAGTTAGCCACATTCTTAGAGAGCCAAGAAGACCCTGGAGAGAGCTCTAGGGACAGACACGTACCTAGCATCTCCAACCCCGAGTTTGATCCCTGACTCCACATGCTGTACTCAACCCCCACAACATCACCAGATATCTCCCTGACAGCCTCTGAGCCCTGCTGGGCCAGAGTACCAAACCCTGAACCCAGAATGCTGGGCGTAACTCTAAGGTCCCCAAAGACTGCTGGGGTGGTGCCTATTAAAAAGAACTGTAGCACTGTTGTTCATCGATTGCTCGAGTGGGTACCAGTAATGTCTCACAACAAATTGTGAGACTTATTATTAAAAAGAAATGAAAAATAATTAAGTAAAAAAAAAGAATTTTTACTTAACTTTGATGACATTTTTGTCTTGATCCAGAATAGCATTCTGTCATCATTACAAAATTAATCAATTATAAGGTTGTTTTTGTTTTGTTTTGTTTTGTTTTAAGCTAAGCCTTTGGGATCTGGTATGTATTCTATGCTTACAGGACATATCTGTTTAGATTCCCCATACACACACGTTTCAGTGTCCAACAGTCAGTGTGGCCAGGCACACTGTAAATCTGTTAGACAGATTTAAACTGGGTAGGGCCTTTCCCCTTCCATGAATGTGGCTCTCTGCTGCTTGTCTCTCTTCTATCTGTTTGCTAAAGGAGCAGGTTAAATAGAGCCGCAATCAGGTACAGGGTGTTTGAGGTAGATCTGCAACTTTTTTTGTTTGCTTGCTTTTGGTGGACCACACCCAGCGGTGCTGGAGTTACTCCTGGCTCTGCACTCAGGAATTACTCCTGGTGGTGCTTGGAGGGACGTCTGAGCTGCTGGGTATTGAACCTGCATCGACCATTTTCATTTCATTTCATTTCATCATCCTGTTATTCGTCGATTGCCTCGAGCAGGCCCCAGTAACGTCTCTTTCATCCTAACCCTGAGATTATATTCAAGGCTCTTTAGGAGAATGAGACCCATCATTGTTACTGGTATTTGGCATATTTGGTACACCACGGGGAGTTTGCCAGACTCTGCCCTGTGGGAAGGCTACATTCGATAGCCTGCAAGTTTGTCCAAAGTAGGAATGAGATAATAAGATGTCATAAAAAGATGTCCTGATAAGATGTCGCGCGGCCGCATTTGTGGCCGCGCGGTTCTGGGAGCTGGATTTTATAGTCTCTGAGTCTTGGCCGTTGATAGGATTACACGGCGCCAGGGGGCCAGGTGGTGGGTGTGACCCCTGCCTACTGGAATTTGGAGGATCTGGGTGGAGGATGCTCAACTCCAATCCGAGTAGGCTGGGAGATCTCGGCCCCGGAACCCGCGTGGTGGATTTGTCCCTCTGCCAGTACCATGTGCAAGGCAAATGTCCTACCCACTGTACTATCGCTCTAGCCCCTGAAGTAGGTTTGCGTTTTTTAATAAAACCCTGCCCGGTAGCTTCACACATCAGCAACTGAGAGTATAACAGTAACAGTATGTATGGAAGGAAAGAATTGAATATGGTTGCAAGCAGCAGGAAGTAGATGGTGGTAAAGCCCCTTTCTAATTCTTGCATCACACTATGGGTCTCTGCCTGCCTGAAAAGGGTTCAGCCTCCTGCTTTGCCTTATTTCATAGTTGAGAAAAATGATCTGTAATGATCAAACAGTTGGGAGAATTGATACAAACAATGGGCCAGTGACCTCTTAGCCCAGCTCTCATTTCCTCAAGCTGAGCCAGATCTGCCCCCAGACAGCCTGGCCGTTCTCTCATCTCAGCCTCCGTTGAGCTCGACCTTAGCTTCCACACTAGCTGCCCGGTAATCCCAGTTTTTTGGCCAGACGTATCATGGATTATCGGCTTTGCCATTTGGAAGTTCTCCAGCCACTGTTTCATTGCACTAGGCTGAATTACCTAAACAAGTAAACACAAAGTAAAGAACAACAGAATACAAGTCTGACAGGTTAATGTGCCCTAGCAAGAGAGAGAAGCAAATGAAAGCACTGAGAACAGAGTGGGTTCCTTTCTCCACTTTCCTGGCTTCGTGTGGGTGCTTTGTCCTCACAAGAGACTTTATTCAGGGCACAGCAAACACATGTACTGCCCCCGACCTCTCACAGTGCACAGTGCGCTGTGTGCCATTTCCTGGAATCTTACCTGATCAGCGATAAGGCGTTTGCCTTGCACGCGGCCGGCCCTGCTAAGCCGGGTTTGATTCTTCTGCCCCTCTCGGAGAGCCCGGCAAGCTATGTCACAGGTAGTACGGCAAAGCCTGGCAAGCTACCTGTGACATATTCAATATGCCAAACACAGAAACAGAAGTTTCACAATGGAGACGTTACTGGGCCCGCTCGAGCAAATCGATGAACAACGGGAGGACAATGCTACAGTGCTTACCTGATCTATGCAGTATCCGAGTAGCAGAGACTGATCTTGAATCCATCCAGTCACTGATGTGCTTCTGTGAATCAGGCACTTAGCAATTACCCCACATTTTCCTCTGCTGTAGACACTGTGCAACTCATTCTCTGTACGATAAACTCAGCTAGAATGAATCAAAAAATGCCTGGTGTCTGAATCCCACCCCTAGCGGTGATTTTGATTCAGCCCAGCTGAGTGCAGCCTGGGTGTAGGAATCCTCCAGACTACTCAAAGGTACAACCAAGGGGCCGGAGTGATAGTCCAGTGTGTAGGGCGTTTGCCTTGCACATGGCAGATCCGGGTTCAGTTCCTCGTGTTCCATGTGATTCCCATGTGATTCCCCCAACACAGCCAGGAGTGATTCTTGAGTGCAGAGCCAGAAGTAACCCCTGAGCATCGCTGAGTGTGAACCAAAAACAAAACAAAACAAAACAAAACAAAACAAAAAGGTGCATCCAAGACTGAGAGCAAAAAAAGGAATGTTCCTATTCCCTGACCCTTCCTGAAGCTCACTAAGTAAATGGGGTCCTGGAAAATTCTTGGAATTGGGAAAGGTCAGTATTGAATGAACCCAGGCAGGCTCTTGTCCTTACTGCCTGGCACTGGGCATAAACAACCTTGGGTACCTTGTGGCTACCGCTCCCCTTTCCTTTGTGCACTCATTACTGTACTTTGCTGCTCTTCCTTCTGAATTCTTCGTGCCAGAACTGACAGCTGATCTAACACCCTCTCCTGCTCCTCCTCCTCCTCCTCTTTAGCTGTCCCCGTGCCAGGTGTGCATGGTCTCCCCTCCCCTTCCTTCCCCACCACCATCCTCCTTCCTCACCCCGCTCTTCTCACTGTGACTCCTCCAGGGTGGAATACCCTGTGACACTCTCACAGTCCTCATCCCACAGGACTTTTCCGTGGCCCCCGCACTGTCCCTCTCCTTGGGGGAAGCATCAGTTCCTGTCATTCTGCTGTCCCAGCTCCTTCTTGGTCCTGGTCCCGCTCAAGTCCCCCCCTCCCCCCAATTGCTCTACAAACTTTCTAATGGAAGAATCCTTCGGACTCTGCTCTGCCTTGTCGTCTACTCCAGATTTTCTCTTTAAACCATCTAAAATGTATTCAAAATAAATGACCAGTTAAAGGTCCCACCAAACTGGGTTCCTAAAGTCCTCTTGAGCCTGCTGCCCCCTTCAGATGTTCCCCTCTTATTAAAAGGCATCCTTGTCATCCAGGGTAGACAGTCACAATGTCCCTCCTGTTCATCATCTTCTCCCACCTCCAAGCCATGAGGGCTCCACCTCCATTACCTCCTTTTCTTATGTCTTAACTCCTGCCACCTCTAATCCAAAACATCCTGTGACCCAATTAGCCCCGGAACCATTCCTCCACACCCACTCTTTTTCCCCTCCCACCTTCTGTCCACTGGAGGGTCAGGGCTATGTCCTGTGACTCACATCATCTCCTCCCCAGAAGACCTCTATTGCACTTAAAGAAAAAACTCCAGGGCCCGAGTAATGGAACAGTGGGTAGGGTGCTTGTCTTGCATGCAGCCAAGCTGGGTTCAGTCTCTGGCATCCCATCTAGTTCCCCCAAGTTCCATCAGGTGTGATTCCTGAGCACAGAGCCAGGAGTAACCATTAAGCATTGCTGGATATACTCCCTTCCACAAAGCACAAAAAACAAAAGAATTAGGAAGAGGAAACTCCATTGTCTTACCATGAACCCCAAGGCCCTGCTTTATCTGACCTTGTCAACCTCTCCACCCTCCTCCTCCTCCTGTCTCTAACCCCATCCACGCTCAGCCCAGCAACCTCCTCTTACCCTCTGCCCCCTTCCTCAGCTACACTTCCCCTTTAACCCAACTAATCATGTTCTGAAACAAATACCATTTCCTCCAATTGGATGTGGGGAAACCCCCGTCCATCCTAAATTAGATTGTTCTATTATATGCTCCCAGTGTTTTCTCTGCTTTTCCTGCATCACTTGCCAGTGGATTATGGAGTGATGATTTCAGTGTACTCTAGGCAACCCCAAAGTAGTGCCATGCCTGTTTGACTCACCAGATAACATCAGTGTTCCACAGGGAGGCATACCTGCAGTACCCAAGAGCTTTGTTTACAGGCATTCATTGTCAAAGGAAGGATCTGGAGGAAGGCGGGGCATCTACTAGCCAGCACAGCAGATTCCCCCACAGCTGTTGAGTGACCACAGAGCCAGGGACTGTTCATCCCACAGTGGGGCCACAAGAAAAATCTACAGGGGTCCAGTTGTAGAGTCATGTGATCATCAGCCCTGAGCTGGCCGCCTCTAAGTCTTTGCCTCTGCTCTAGCCAGCTTTGTAATATAATGGGTTTTGTTTCCAGGACAGTAATTGTCCCTCCCTAGAACAACCTCGGGTCTGGGGAAGTTGGAAAATCTATGTTTGGAAGTTTCCACAAGCGATGGACCTAAGCCCCAACCCCTCCAATAGCTCCAGCGCTGGTCATCAGGAGGCACTATGTTAACTGCGCCTAAGTCTGAGCTTCCTGGGGCTCAATAGGGTGAGGGAACGGAAGTGCAACTGGGTGAGAACACGGAGAGGGTGCCAAGGTCGAAAGACTTGTCCTAGGTCACACAGATTTCAACTCATGGTCGTTACTTCCGGAACATCTTTCATCTATAACTACTTTAGAGCACTATAATGCTGGTGTATGCATAGAATCAAAAGGACTGTGGAAAGTCTGGGATTTAGACCATTTTGATCTTGAGATCCGTGTGGAAGGTCACCGGTCAGAAAGAAGTGAGAGGGAGCATTACAGGCATGTGACCGTGTCTCCGCACTCAGCAGCACTTTCTGAGGCCACACGGGTGGGGCCTTTCTGTAGTAAGGAAGTGATGAGAGTGCTCTTCACCAGACAGGGAAGACGAGGCTCCCCTCACTCATTCCCTGGCGATTTTCTACCATCCCTTCTTACAGCCTGGTGGCCTATAAACAAGCATCGTGGTTGCAGTTCGGAAATGTTGCAGAGAAATGAAGGTGCTGATGTGAAGGAGTGGAAAACACCACCAAAGCCCAGGCTCCCTTGAAGACAACGGAAGAGACCAAGCTATCCCACTGCTCAAGAAACCTGAGTTCCAGAAAACATCTGCTCTGGTTCGGGGTCCTGGGTAGGGAGGGAAAAACACTTTCGGGGTGATGAAAGTCAGCTTTCTGGCACCCGGGGAGGCAGCGGCCAGGCTCTCTGGACAGCAGAGCATGTTCTCTTGAGGGTTTCATGGGGCCACCAGTATAAGATGCCCTAAGGGGCTGCAGACAGGGCCCCCGTTTTGTCCAGGAAGTGTCTTGGGGGCTTTCTGGACAGCCCACTTGTCTTCTGGGTGCTATGATGGGACTCCCATCAGAGAACCCACATGACTCTTGGGTGAAGTGTCCCCAAGGATCTCCAAAACCTGCATTATCTGATCTTGCCCATCACTCCAAACACATGCACCCATTTTTTTTTTTTTAGTCTGAGGGAAATGTGGAAGGGGTTTTCTAAGAACAGCCAACAAGGAATATCCGTCTTTTAAAAATTAACATTTGAGGGTTGGGGAAGTTTGCCTCATGCCCTGAGTTCTTTTTTTTTTTTTTTTTTTTGATGTGAACACCAAACAGAGATTTGGAGCTCAGTCTCTTGGCTTCAGGATAATGTAGTTGTAACTGTCATTTATAAGAAGCAAAGCTTTCTTCCATGGATTAGGACATGGAATCCTTGCAGGCAACTTTCCCAAGTGGGTGGTGTGAAGGGTGCAGGGAGGGACGCTAAAAACCATTCTAATTGAAACACTTATTTTTTTATCGCCTATTTTACTCGCAGACATAACAGTGGCCTCGCCATCTAATAAAATCAGCATTCATCGTAAATGTGTGCGTTGTTCTTTCCCAGACAAGTGTACCTCAGTCAGCACAGATGTGGCCTTTGTAAGCTGGGCCCAAAGCATGACACAGCACGCTTGGAACAGTCAGCACCTTTGGGCTCAGACAGGATTCACTCATTCCCCGTGGGGAAGGTGAGAACTGAAGGGGACATCCTCTGAGGATTGGCCCCAAGCTAGGTGCAGAAATAAGTCGAGAGCAAGCTTGGGAATGCCCCTGTCCCAGGGGGTACAATGGCTCCAGGGTGGGACCCATGGCAGAACAGACGGTGTGAGATATTCTAATAAAGCTTAACCTTGGAGAATGGAAAGTAGCATCTGAGGAGCTCCTGGAGGCAGGATGCACTCAGAAAGGACCTAGAGATGAAAATACCCTGGGCCGGAGCGATGGCACGGTGAGTAGGGCGTTTGCCTTGTACTCAGCCCACCTGAGTTCAATCCCCGTCATCCCATATGGTCCCCCAAGCACCGCCAGGAGTAATGCCTGAGTTCAGAGCCAGAAGTAACCCCTGAGTATCACTGGGTGTGACCCAAAAAGAAAAAAATTATCCCTAGGGAGGTTGAATGTGAAGAAAGCAAAAAGGGAGGGAGGGAGAGAGAGAAGGCGTCAAGCAGGCCCAGCTGGCGAGAGGACAGAGCAGAGAAGGAGCAAGTCGAAATAGAGTCTCGTTTTTTTTCTCTGCTTTACTTGCTCAGTTTGGGGACCACACCCTGCAGTGCTCAGGGACTGTTTCCAGCTCAGCAGACCCTGGGGTACTTTGTCTCCAATACTGCTAGCTCTTCAGAAAAGTTTTCACTTCCTCTCAAAGACTGTAATTCCAAAGTTCAGGGATACGGCTTGTCTCAAGACACATAGCTGAAAATTCTGGGGTTTGACCTCAAACCTCTCCCTCTTAACCCACTGTATCTTTTATGATGCTGTCTGCTCCCGGGAAGTTTGGTTAGTCTGTCTCTAGTCCGTCGCTGTCACTGGGTAAGCTTAAACAAGCACCTTGCGCTCTCATTTCCAGCACATTCCAGCATTCTAATGCAGAATCCTTTTAGCACATCGAAACGGGATCTCCACTGACCAAGGCATTAGGTTTTCAACCTCTCGGGCACTTTTGACCAGTGGTTGAAGACACCATTTCTTTTTTCTTTGTATAATAAAAACAAAACAAAACAAAAACAATAACCGGGCAAATCAAAAAATGCCTAGTCCTGACTCAGAATATTATGTTGTATTTTGCTAAGAAGTAGGGTCGGAGTAAATCCTTCCTAGATGTTACCTGGGCTGTTAGAGTTTACCAAATAAATCATTGTACTCAAATTAATGCCAACATCTAAAATTGAGAGGGATTTGGGGATAAACCTGTAAAGAAGTGAAGAATTATAAAAATAGTTCAAGGATGTCTTTCTCCTGCTCTGTATATCCTGATTCTTGATGGCAAAACGATATTGTGTATGTATATATATACATATTCATATACAGATATACATCTATATATAGATAGATATATAAGTGTATAATCACACCTGGCAATGTTTAGGGGTTAATACTGACCAGGCACTGAGATTACTCCTGGAGGGTCTTAGGAGATCATATGGGGTGTCCGGGATCAAACCTGGGTTGGCCGTGTGCAAGGTAAATGCCTTACCCACTGTACTATCGCTGCAACCCCCAATAGACATCTTTTTAAGCAAATAAGAAGCAGACTGGAGCTAAAGAAAGCATCTTTTATATCTTTATTGGTCCATTACTTTAAGTTAATCGAGGTAAAGAAATCTTTTTTAAATTTACGAGCGGGTAGTTTATCAAGCAATACAAATTCTTTTGTTTACCTCAAAATGTAATACTAATCCCATAGTAAACAATGAACAGAGTTTTTATACACATATGAAAAAAGTCGACAAAAAACTTAAGCCTTCATCTAAAATGCAACAAAAAAACTTAAAAAAAAAAACAATTCTGGATTCAATGACAAGGAGAAGAAAGGGTGACATTCTTTGTAAAGTTTGGTAGTTTTGCAAAACAGAAACTTCAACCTGTGAAAAAACCACTTGCTCATCCACACACTTCCTGGAGAACTCACTTTTTTTTTTCACAGCTTTTGATTTGGCTTAACGGCAGCATGGAGTAAAGCACATAGAGGTCTGTATCCACAACTCGGGGTCTTATTTTTCTTTTCACTGTAAAGAATGATTTCTAAAATGAAGAAACACTAGTTCATAATTTGGACAGGACCTAAGCAAAAGGGTGGTGGCTGTTTTTAATCTTTTTTCAATCATTAAAATACAAGTTAGAAAGTGTGCTGGCGTTTGCTTCGATGGGAACTGACCAGAAGGACATTTTCTCCCTGCGCATCCTCACTTCCGGGCATAGGACCAGGCCCGGGGCAGGGGATGGACAGGATGAACCACAACCGGACCAAAGCTGCAGGGGCCACTGGGTCAGCTGTGAAGAGGGGCGGATGAAGGTCCCGCTGCGACTGACTTGCTTTCTCCTGCTGATCGGCATGTTTTTTTTGTTATCTGCTTTCTTTTTCCCAGGTCCACACCGGGGTGAGAGTGATGTCCCATTTCCTTCTCTAATCAACCGTGGGGTTGGTCTGAGTCTGCAAAGTAACCCATCAAACAAACAGGGGTGTAGACAGGTGTTTCCTGCTCCGACCCAGACCAGCTGGTGAGGGGGGCCACGGAGCACTCCGGCTTCCACAGGAAACACACTCTAGAAGTAGCTGCCTTCATGTGCGCCATCATAATTTGATTACTGGCTTATTCAACCTGCGGAGAAGCTCCACCCGAAACAAGCTGTTCTGAGGCTCCTATCATAGCGGTTACAAAGCTTTGGTGCGCAGAATCGGGGCAAATGTTTCATCTTGTTCTTTGATTCTGCGTGATTTGTCAAGGCTGACTCCCTCTCCGACAGCCCAAGCTGTGTGCACAAAGACACAAAAGAAATCTTCATACTTGAAAACGGACAGGAAAAAAAAAGTTGTGTGGCCCCTGTGCTTCCTCCCACTCTCAGAAATATTTGGCAATAGCGATACTGAGCTTCTCCTACCATGGGGTAGCCCTGACCAGGAAGTCACTGTCTGCCTGGCTTGTTAAGAAGAATGAAGACTGCTTCTAGTCAGCGCTCTAAGTCAGCTAAACAGCAGATGGAAAGGTCTAAAAACTCTTTCTATCCAGAATCTAAAAAATCCTAGATGAAGAATAAGGCATTGATCACTAGGTGTTGACAAACTCTCCAAAAGTGGAGTTAGGTTTTTAACAGTCTGTGGCATTGGCGAAAGTCTGGATTTATTGATGTCCAAGTGCTAACAACATAGGAAACAAATACTGGTTTGTTAGAGCTATTTCCCCCCCAAAGCACTTATTTACAGCCTATCTATAGTAGTAAAACCAACTGTATCATGTATGTCGCTGCCATGCAGGAGACAGACAGTCATACCCACAATGCATTTCAAACACTGATGATTTAAGGATGAGCAGTCAATGGCCTGGAACTAAGGCTCTCTGCCCCTTGCATAATGCAGACTGCACTGCACTGGCTCTGATGCCCCATAGCCAGGAACACAGATGTCCCTCACAAACACAAAACTTATCACCTCTGGGGTGGAGTTGATGGAAAAATGGGTGTCTGGTGGATGCGCTGAATTCAAAAAATTCAAAGACCTTCTCCACAACCAGTTCAATCTTAAGTCTGGCTCACACCACCTGCTCTCCAACCTGTAAGAGGGAAGACCCAAGCTGTCTCCAGCCTCAGGGCTCTTGAAAGCAGAAGGCAGATTCAAATTCCCAGCACAGTTCCGCCAATGAGGAGGCCCAAACAGTACTGGCCCAACCTTCTCTGCCTGTCAGGGAAAGGTGGGAGTCCAGGACTGGGGTGCCCTGTCTTGACCATCTTCTGAGCCTCAGCAGCCCTGTGTGGGGCACAGCTCATAGCCACCCCCATACCTGGGATCTTCCCGCAGCAGCTCAGGTGAGCAAAAAAACTTTCCTGCGATCCATCACACCGCGCCAGAACAGAGCCTGTGCTGAGATGGCCTCAGGCTCCACGCAGACCCTAGATGTCCCTCCACCCTCCAGCTTCCCCAGGGGGCACTTCCCCTGCAGAATGCCCACCTTGATTGAAGCAGGACTGTCTGTCATCCCATCATGAGCAAGGCAGCGCCCCCTAGAGAAAGAGATCTGCCAGGGTGCACCTAGGGACGCTCTGAAAAGGGTGACCCCGGGAATACGGCCCACTCCAATGCACTCTGGCGTGGCTGAAGTCTAATGTGGACACAAAACTTGGCTTGCATTCACTGTGATGCCCGGAGCCTCTGCAGACTTTCAGGGATTTCAAGAAGAAGGTGTGTGTGTTTGTGTGTGTGTGTGGGGGGGGGGGGGGTTCCCCGCATCCTCGAGAGCAGCACCATGGAAATACCCTAACGACACTTCTCCCGGTTCCCCAGGGAATCATCAAGGACAAAGCCTGGCTGTGTCCTCTGTTCCCTCTCTCAGCAATGCCCGTGCCCTGGGCAGAGGTGCCTGGAATCTCCTCAGAGGGCATCCCCCCTCCCCATCCCACGTCTACACCTGCCACACATCCCACACGCACATGTCACCATCACAGGCCTCCCGAGTAGAAGCTGGTTCCCCTTCCAGTTCTTTCTTTCTTCTGCCTTAGCCCAAATTTTTGGAGAGTGTGTGTGGGACTTGCTCAAGCAGGGCTCGGGGGCCACGCCTGGTGGTCCCATGTGAGGTCCTGAGGATGCAGCCTGGGCTCGGCTGAGGGGTCAGGGAGCACCAGGGCCACCTGGCAGGGCTGGGTGGGAGTGGGGCAGGGCTCTGCCTTAAATTTCAAGTGGGACAAATGAAACCGTTCACCTCTGTTCGGTGTGGGGGGGGGGGGGGAGGGAGTGGGGCATGGCGGAGGGGTCACTAAGCTGCTGCCAGCACTTTCCACGCCACAGCCTGGTAGTCGGGTCTCAAAGCCCGTCCACATCTGTTGACCAGAGGTGCGGTCCACAGAAAACAGCCTAGAATGAGACACGGTGAGGAGCTGGTGATCCCAGCCCCACGGCTCCGTGGTGCCGAGGAGGATGGGGTGATGTAGCCTCAGAGAGGCGCTCTTTGGCACAGATGTTTCTGAGTGGCACTGCTCCTGCAGAAGGAACCACATGGGTGTGGCCCAAGGGGACGAGGAGAATCAAGGCTTGGGACCCTCGTGGGGTGGGGAGCAGGGGTCATGGGGTTTGGGGGGTCGGGTGGGAGGACTGGAGACCCTCCTTCACTGCCTGCGCCTGCACCCCTCCAGCTGGGTCAGCACCATCTCCCCCACAGGGCAGGGGCCCTTCGCCGCAACCTTCTTTCTCTAAGGAGATCTGTGCCATCTGCCGGTTTGCTAGCTGTGCCAGCCTGCGGCAAGATGGTTCTGCCCTGCCCCAGCTCTCCTGGGCAACTTCACAGTGCAGGAACTGCATGGAGGCACCAGGGAGGAAAAAAAAAATCAAGCCCAAGATGCCAAACTTTTTGGGAGCCAGACTCCCCCCTCCAATAACAAGCAAGCACACGTGTGCAGCCACTCACTGTCCAGTAGGGCCCAGTGAAGAACCTCATGCTTTTTTTCTGGAAGAGTTGCCTTCTTTCCCCATGACCCCTGACACGGGAGTGTCCCTGGGCTTGGGCAGCAGCAAGAGACCAGAGTCTGACTCCCCCCCCCCCCCCCCCCCCCGTTGTATTTTCCAAGCACTCTCTTTCTGGGCCGCAATCCAAACAAGGCCATCTCCCCGGGTTCCCCAGGCTGAGCATTTGCTTCTAGGTCACCTGAATGTCTTCTACCAAATACTGAGAGAGAACCGGGCCCCCACCAGGAGATGTACAGCCCTCCGCCTCCCGATTCTACCTGCAAAATGTCAGGGACCCCCCCCCCCCAGTACCTCGTCCCCACAGTCACGCAATGGTAAAGGCAGAGTTATGCACAAATCACCACTCAGACAGCTAGACGATTCTCACCCTTTTGCTTCAGTCCGGCACTGCTAATGGTACCAAACTCACAATCTGCATCACAATGGCACATTAGAAGGGGACCTACAAGCATACCGAGAAGTACCAGTTTGGATTCTGATATCGTCTTTGAAACGGCAATGTTTTCCAACAGGGTGGGGGCAGAACCAGACCTTTGTGGGCCAGTGCTGCTGCTGTTCCCCGGCCCCTGCGGCCTCCACAAGCTCACAAGCACATGGAATGAAGGACTCCCCCAGGTCACACAGGGCAGCTGGGATTTGCAGGTGAAGATGCTCACAGGTGGTCCGTTCAAAACACGAAAAAACAACAAACACAAGAAAGCCTGCTGCTCAGCTGAGGTTCAGGTGCGCTCTTCGAAAGGAATGAGCCCAAGAGGAGGGGACGCAAACAAAACAGGCATCGCTTCCAGTCAGGAGGAAAACGGTGAGTTGGGAGTTAGGTCCTTTTTTGTGTGTGTGTTGATTTGTGAAAACAACTGTGACAGGGCCAGGGGGTGGGGTGTGGGGAAATAGCTCAATGGGCTGAGCACAGGCGTTGCATGCAGGAGACCCGGGTTTGGTCCCCAGTCCTGCATGGTCCCCTGAGCACCACTAGAAGTGACCCCCAAGCACAGAGCTGCAAATAAGCCCCTGAGCACTGCTGGGCATGGCCCAGGAAAAAAAAAAGAAAAGAAAGAAAAGGAAAAGAAAGGATTGAAAGGAGTCACCCTGATAAGAGTTTGAAATGTTGATTCTAGTGGCAGCCAGGTACCCCCAGGAATTTGGCTGCAGCTAGACGTGCAGCTCCAGAAAAAGCAGATTCGCTTTTTGTCAGCAAGGCCCATCCAGGAACTGACTTTGCTTCCTGACCAGGAGATATGAAGAGTTAAAGCACTTCATGTAGAACATTCACATTGAGGTGACAAATCTCGACGGTGTCGTGACAACACGGCGTCCTCTCCCCAAGAGGCCGCCCTAACCTTCTAGGGACACTGGAGGAAACATCAAACTAGGAATTTTTGGTGCGGTCAAGGCAAGTTGCACAAAGCAGACACAAAAGGTGGGGCATGACCTGTGCCCACAGACCATGGGCTTCATCTCCGCCCAGATGACACTGAACAAGCAAATAAAAAAAAAAAGAAAAGAAAAACACTGAAGAACTTCACAGAGAAAAAAAAATGCACCTTTTTTTTTCTTTTCCTTTTACACAAACACAGCTCCATCCTACTGCATTCTCGAGTCAAGACACAAGTTTGGGGAACGCTGTCTCGCCTTCAGTCTCCTGAGGGCATTACCGGGACAAGCAAGGACACTGGCTGGCTCAATCGGGACGCACAGAGACACGGGTTCGAGGCTGACTCCGCAGGAACCGTGGAACCGAACCCAGGGGAGGGCCATGCAGCGCAGGCAGGAGCAGGCCTCGGTCCGGGAAGGGTTTCCTGTGACGAACACCCGGCACTGCCTTCTGGCCGGGCCTTGTCCTTTCCTGTGGAGATCCAGGGCAGAGCCCACGCCTCCAGAGTGAGCACGAACTGCCAGCCTCAGTTCCTGCCTTGCTGGGTTCTCCTCCCTGATGGGCATCTTCGTGGACTCCAGGGCGGAGAGGACGACACGTCTGCGCGGATGGTCCCGACTCTGGAGGTCAAGTCTGGGTAGGTGTTCACAGAGCAGACGCCGCCTCAACATGAATGTCTGCCGTCTTTCGCCGAGAGATGATCACACTTAGCCTCACAGACTCCACCGAGGCAATAAAACACTCGCTGGGGAGAGGTGACAGGTGAAGGAAAAGGGGGAGACAGACAGACAGACAGACAGACACACACACACACACACACACACACACACACACACACACAAGGAGAGATGTTTCTGTAGTTGTCTTCCCAGCGTCACCTCTCTGGCACGGCAGAAATATTCTGGAACCACAGGTCGAAGAGTGTCTGTCCCGAGTGGGAGGTCACTTGGCTTCTTGCTTCTCCTGCAGCAGTGGAATGATGGACTCCCAGGCCATGAGGCACTGAAACGACACAAAACACACACACACACACACACCATGTCAGCCGCGGGTTTCCGATTTTAGGGTCAGCCCCTGACTTTTGCACTGAGGGACCCTTCGATGGTTTCGAGCTTCCCTGTCAGGGAGGGGAAGTGGCAGGCACTCGCCTAACGGGGTCACCCCTGCCTCCACTGCAACTCGACAAGGGTGTGTCCACCAAGCCCCCAGGTCCCGAGTGGAAAGGGCCTCTCAGGAAGAGACTGTCCCCTTCAGAGGGAGAGACCCAGCTGTGGGTCACAGTGGACACCCTGGGTGCCCGGCCAGGATGGAGATCCAGGGCTGGGCGCGCCCCCCACCCCGATCCCCGCCCCCACCCCCGATGCAGGAACCAGCCGCCTGACAAGAGAATGGACCGGGCAATGAAACAACCTCAGGCTGGTTTGCTCTGGCCACTCCCGGACCCCCGACAGGGAAAGTGCGCAAAGGAAACCGTACACTGATGCAGAGCTTGTATATCCCAGTGCTGCTATGTATTTGACGTTCATGGCGCTAGTTACGCTCAGGCCAAGTTTTAGGGGGGGAAATGGTGTTTTTTTTTCTTCCCCCCCTTCCCCGCACATGCCCATGCATTTCCTGGCTGGAGGGCAAAAGGGACCCAGAGCAGCTAATGAACGTGCCCGGGACCCAGAGCAGGCAATACACATGCCCAGAAAGAAAGAGGCAGCGTTCCAGAACTGGTCCTGGTCTTGGGATCCAGGTCTCGGGAAGGCTGTGGTGCGGCTGTTTAGAGGAGAGACAGACACTGCGGGATGAGTCAGGGCTCCCATGGGGTGGAGTGGGGAGAGGGAAGGGCGGGGGAGGGAGGGAGGAGGAGCCTTTAGCTCCCCATGCTGATGCCTGGCTGCTCCGTGCCTGCACAGACCCTCGCTGGAGCAAGCTCACACCCATTTGGCAGATGAGGTAACAGAGGCACGGAGAGGCACTCCGCCTGAGTGCACGGTGAGTGGAGGAGGAGCAAGGCTGAGCCTTCACAGGGGGCCAGCTTCCCTACTGCTTTTTTTGTAGACAGGGCTGTCCCCAGGACAAGTGGCCCCAAAGGCCCACACCGACAGTCTCAGAAGGGGGAGACTTCAGATGCTGGGGACCTGGCATGTGTCAAGGATCACCCTGGTTCAGGCTCGCCAGCTGTGGAGCCTTGGAGGAGCTGGAAACGCTTGCAGGGCTTCTACTCCTTCAGTTTTTAATTAATTAATTAATTTTTTTTTTGTGTGGGCCATACTGGGTGGTGCTCAGAGCTTACTCCTGGCTCTGTGCTCAGGAATCCTGGCATGCTTGAGGGACCAAATGGGATGCCAGGAATTGAATCCGAGTCAGTCGAGTGCAAGACCAGTGCCCTACCCAGTGGACTATTATTGCTCTGTCCCATTCAGCTTTAAATTAAGAATCAAGAGACTGGAGAGATAGTACAGTGGGCAGGGCGCTGACCTTGCACGCGACTCATCCCAGTTAAACCCCCAGCAACACACGGGATCCTGTGAGCACCACCAAGAATGATCCCTGAGCACAGAGCCAGGAGTATGCCCTGAGTGTGACCCAAACCACATTTGCTGAGACGCCCCACACCAAGCGGCCTGGACCCAGCCCACTCAGTTCCACCACATTGACCCTGCATAGTACTGAGGAAAGGCAGAAGCCTGTCTCTCTCTTCCCTGCACTGAAACGATCCTTCCGAAGACCTGGCAATAAGGCCTACGCACTCCTGCTTCCCGACACACACAAGTCCCTCTGACAGTAGCAGTTCCAGACACAGGCCTGAACGTGGTAAGAACCAGCAGAGCCTCTAACTGGGCAGACTCTTCAATGAGTCAGGGAAGAGGGTGTGCTGGGAGGATTGGGCTGGGCGGGCGGGCGGGCATAGCTGGGCTAGTGCTCCTGGATGTCAGGCCACTTGATTAACTGGGCGGGCGGGCATAGCTGGGCTAGTGCTTCTGGATGTCAGGCCACTTGATTAACTGGGATCGCGGCATTCTTCCTCTTTACACTTACGCTGGTGAGGAAGATTAGTAAGACATGACCTAGAGTTGAATATTCTAGTGCCAACTTTGAGGAGGTGTGTGTGCTCGTGTCTGAGAAAGAGGGAATGAGAGAGAGAGCGAGAGAGCGAGAGAGTGAGCACTTAACCTAAAGGACAGAGATCAAAGTGTATCATGAAAGAAGCTGCCTCCAATAGTTTTCCTCAGTAGTACCACATTTATTTTAGGAGCTGAAAACTAGTCCTTCCATCCGGGCTATGGCTCAGTCACAGAGTGCACGCCTCCGGCACCACAAAACACAAATAAATAAAAACATCACTTTTAAGACAAAAACAAAACAGGGCCCGGGAAGTAGCTGCGTGACGGAGCAGAGGTTACACGCGGCTGAGGCTCTGGACCAGATCACAGGCACCAAACAAAACCAAACCCCGAATTTTGATACGGGCGTCGCCAGGTGACCAAAGGAATCTGCGCCACGCTCGGAGTGAAGCAAGGTCCCCTGGACGTCAACTCTCAGGGCGGCTTCACAGAATCCCCCAATAGTAGCAGTTCCACACACAGACCTGGCCGATGCAGGGGAAACTGCCAGAGCCCCAGGGCAGGGCAGGGCAGGGCAGGGACCCTGGGGGGCCAGGGAGACTCCCCTGGAGGTGGGGTGGGGAGGCAGGACCTCCGCTTCCAAACCCAACCCTGCCTCCAGTGCTGCAGGGAAAGGGCGCACAGGGTCTGCCAGGAAAGAAATCACAGCAGCCGCCAGGAACACCGCCTACCACGGGAGGACTCCGGCGGGCCGGCGGGCTCGTTACCTTCTCATAATACTGGATGTTCTTGTCCGCCATCCCCATGAGCAGCTGCCGGAAGTCCTGGCGCTTGTTGCTCTGCCACCGCTCCATGTCGGCCTTCAGGTCGGCGTTGAAACACTCCATCCGGTCCTGGCATTTCTCAACGTCTGCAGGCACCTGGAAGGCAGAGGCGGAAACAGGGGCTTGGCACACCTGACCGTGCCCACAGCTGCCCGCTCCTCTGTTCCCAGGGCTTTGGAAGGCCGAGGGGCCACATCCCGAGCCACAGACATGCTCTTGCCTCTCAGTTAGTTGCAGGAAGGGTCTGGTGGGGGGGGGGGGGTGGGGGGCATTAAGGAACTCAAAAAGAGGTGGTGCTGACCCAAATCTTCTATCCCAGCACAGGGGCTGGAGCAATAGCACAGCGGGTAGGGTGTTTGCCTTGCACGCAGCAGACCCGGGTTCGATTCCCAGCATCCCGCATGGTCCCTCGAGCACTGACAGGAGTAATTCCTGAGTGCAGAGCCAGGAGTAACCCCTGAGCATCGCCGGGTGTGACCCAAACAGCAAAACAAAACAAAACAAAACAAAAAAACCTGCACAGCACTGCAGAGATCCATGTGGGACACAGGCCCCAACCACCCCCCATTCACAAATAGAAAAAGGAAATTGCAAATCTGTTCCTCGGTGCCTAGATTCAGCTCATCCACATGTGAAACCTGTTTGTGGATTTTGCAGAGAGCCATATTTGGCAACGCGCTCTATTCTTCTCTGTCACCAAATCAAACTAGGGAAAAAATGTTTCCCATGTCAAGCGAGCTACTTCATTCCCTGGGATATTTGATAAGGTGTAGCCTCGGTGACCAGAGAATTGTAATATTAAAGCTGTTGGCTGAGGGGCTGGAGAGATAGTACAGCAGATAGTTTGTCTTGCACACAGCTGACCTGGGTTCGATCCCCGGCATCCCATATGGTCCCCCAAGCACCGCCAGGAGTAATTCCTGAGCGCAGAGCCAGAAGTAACCCCTAAGCGTCGCTGGGTGTGGCCCCCCTCAAAAAAAAAAACTATTGGCTGATTTCCTCCCAAGATCCCCACTTTACACATCGAATGAAACTTGGTCCGTGCCCCCCATCCCCCTTGGTCATCTTGGCAGATCACCAAGGTTCAAGTTGGACCACTGGGGCAAAGGGAGGAAAACCAGGCCTGCAGGAGACAAGATGAAAGCTGAGGCAGGTTCCTGGGTTTTCCTTCACAGAGGTTTCAAAGACTCTCATGGAGGGGAAATCCTTTCCCTGGGCTTTCACAACTCTGACCCTGCTGAGTGTCTTCTACACTAGACAGTTACGGGAGCCCTGTGGTCCCCGGGCTTCCCCAAACTCAAAGTTGGTTTCTCTGCCCCCTCCGTTGCTCCCCGATGGCTTGTACACAGGTCAGGGGGTCGTACCCGAAGCTGAGTGAAAGCTCATCTGCCGAGTGCCTCTCCGGGGTCAGGCCCCATCGACTGTGTTGCGGCCTGACCTCCATGTGTCTGAGCCAGCCAGTGTCTCAGGGGTGGTCCCCTCTCTGCATGCACCCAGCAGTCCCCTTGATCCTCACCCAGCCTCGTACCCTGCTAGCATCTGGGTGACTGGCCCTGGTCCTTTTGTCACCCTTTGTGCATCACAAAGGGATCGAGGCAGAGAGGGAAAGCGATACTCTGGAATGAGAAAATCTGGGAGGAGAGAGCGAGGCCCATGCTGACTGGCTCAGAACTCAGAGGCTCCTCATCCGGGATGACTCCCAGGCCGAGAGCATGGGCTGACCCACTGCGCTTTGTGATCACAGTCAGAGTTCTGGACTCAGGGCCATCCGAGCTCCCACTTAGAAGAGTATTTCTTGGTACCCTCCCTGCAGGGCCCCAGGGACAGAGTCAAGCATGACACTCCTGTCACCTGCGGCTCTGGTGGGGAGAAAGCGGGAGGGCCGGGGAAGGTTCCAGATGCTTGGCCTGCACGGGGCCCTCGGAGAGCGGGCTGAGGAGGGGAATCCCGAGAGGAAGGCCACCGGGCTGAGACATGAACACATTCACACTGGCACTACCATTTGGGCTACTTCAGCCCCAGCCAGATGTGGGCCATCGGTGGTACATGCGGGCACCAGCATGTTACAGATGGGAAGGGGCACGTGGGACGGGGAGGGTGAGGACACATCAGAGGGACAGTCCAGGACCAGGGAGACAGCATGAAGGGTTGGTGTTGGTGTGTGTGCTGGGTCTGCAGGAGGACTGTGTTCGCTCCCTGACACTGCACGGTCCTCTGAGCCCCACTGGCCTGGCCCCAAGCAGAACAAAAACCAGAGAGACAGTCCCTGTGAGTGGCAGTGGGCAGTGGTAGGCATTCTCAGACAGGGTACAGTGCTGAGACAGAGACAGAGAGGGAGGGAGGGAGGGAAGAAGGGAGGGAAAAGGGGGGAGAGAGAAAGACAGACACAGACAGAAGACAGGAGAGAGAGAAAGAGAGACACAGAGAGAAGGAGGGGGAGAGAGGGAGAGGGAGGGAGAGAGAGAGGGAGACCAAGAGAGGGAGAGAGGGCGGGAGAGAGGGAGGGAGAGGGAAAGAGAGACAGAGAGACGGAGGGAGGGACAGGGAGGGAGAGAGAAAGAGCACAACTGGCAAGATGGGGGTAGGACAATGGTCACCAAGGGCCCAGACTCTTTCTGAAAGGTCAGAGGTCCGGAGATCCTCTAAGTGACGGCCCATCCTGGGAAACTCCTGCTCCTGGCCGGCGTGCGACCACAGGCCTCTCTGCTTCAGCTTCTTTTCCTGGTTCCAACTATCCACCTTACAAGCGTGTGTGGCCTTGGATGAGACACCCGCACTTGGCAAGTGTGACACTGATTAGTTCTGTCCCTCTCAATGCCGCAGACACACAGTTTTTGCCCAGGACCATTTCACGACAAGGCTATTTCACTGGGGGCCAGGAGGATGGCTCACCAGGACAATGCAGGGCCTGGTTCCCGTGATCCCCAGCACCACGTGTCCCCCAAGCACCAGAGGGAGTAGTGCCAGAGGTAGCCCCAGGTAACATCAGGTGTGGGCCCCCACACACACACACACAAAATAATATTTTACTGATCTTCATTCCGTGTCTTATAAAAGCATGTTTCTTTTCCCTCTCCCGGACAATTATCATATTAATAAATAGGTTCTTTCAAACCCTGTTCCACCCTTCCCCCATGTCACCCCACCCTGAGATTTCACCAGAGGTCAGAGATGAGTCAACACGGAACCCTACTGGCAGGAGAGCACTGTCGGCAGGCAGCTCCAAGCCCAGTGGGCAGCATCCACCCCAGAAGAGGGAGTGCAGGTGAGATTGGACCCTCGGATCTGGACGATAACTGGGAAGTTACGGGAAACTGTACATGGGAAGCAGAGCCCTGGGGTCAAGACACGGGAGGAAGAAGAGCTGGAAGCTAGAGGGTTAAGAAGTACCTAGGCAAGGCAGGGAAGTTTGAATGAAAAATAAATAAAATCCCAGAAGGAAGGTCGTGGTACACACACACACACACACACACACACACACACACACACACACACACCCCAGGGTACTGTGAAGCTAGAAGAAAAGATGAAATCAGGCAGGTCGGCTGCCATATGGATGGAACCAGAGGCATCATGTGAAGGGCAATGAGTCCGAGGGAGAAGACCAAAGCATCTCATCATCTGTGGTTTCCAGAGACAAAACAAAGGACCAGACAAGACTCAATGATGACTCCGGGTTACCAAATACTGCGGGGAGGGAGTGGGCGAGGGGGAGGAAGAGGAGGATTAGGATGGATGAGTGGGTGCTGGGGGTGGGGTGGGGTCCTTGGCAAGAGGCACAGTAATTATATATCAGAACCATGAGCATTGCAACCATGGCAACCTGAACTATAATCATAATTTTTCTTTAAAAAAATCCTAGGAGGGCCGGAGCGATAGCACAGCGGGTGGGGTGTTTGCCTTGCACGCGGCCGACCCAGGTCCGGTCCCCGGCATCCCATATGGTCCCCCAAGCACCGCCAGGAGTAATTCCTGAGTGCAAAGCCAGGAGTAACCCCTGAGCATTGCTGGGTGTGACCCAAAAAAGAAAAATAAATAAATAAAATAAATTGGCTTCTAAAAAAAAAAAATCCTAGGAAAGGGGCTGGAGTGATAGCACAGTGGGTAGGACATTTGCCTTGCATATGGCTGACCTGGGTTCGATTCCCAGCATCCCATATGGTCCCCCGAGCACCACCAGGAGTAATTCCTGAGTGCATGAGCCAGGAGTAACCCCTGTGCATCGCCGGGTGTGACCCAAAAGGAAAAAAAAATTCTAGGAAGGAGTCGGACCCTCATCCCCTCAGAGCACATGAGGGACTCTGGGTGCAGAGTGGCATCCACACTGGCAGGAACCCTCTGCTGGGGAGGAGCCTTTCCAGAGCAGCGGGGGGCTGGGGGGTCCCCCCTCCAGCCGAGCCATCCCTCCACCCCACCGCGCGCACCCTCACCTTGGGCCGATCCTCCTTCCTCAGGGCCACGGCTTCCAGTTTGGCTTCGTACTCGGCTTGCACTTGGTCCCTCTTCTTCAGTACGTTCTGTGAGAGGCAGAGAAGAGCGGCACGTCGTGGAGTGGAGCGTCCCCCTTTCTCCACACCCCCCTCCCCCCAAAACAGGTGGTGCCCAGGCCCACCTACGAGTTCCCCAGACACCTGGACTGTGGCGTGAGCCCGGGCCATGAACCGTGAAGACAGCGGGGATGGTGGGGGTTGCGGGGACTAGAAGTCTCCTGGGAGCCTGAGCTCTGACCACGGAGGGTCCCGGGCGTGTGGGGAAGGAGCTCAGCTGTGTCACCGTGCTTGGGGGCGTTTTCCTGGCTTCCCCCTTGCAGCAGACTCAGACTGTGCTGAAATGTGGAGGTGTCAAGACAGAACCTTCCAGAAGGCTTATAAAAAGAGTTCCTGGGGCTGGAGCGATAGCACAGTGGGTGGGGCATTTGCCTTGCACACGGCCGACCCAGGTTCGATTCCCAATATCCCCTATGGTCCCCCGAGCATTGCCAGGAGTAATTCCTGGGTGCAGAGCCAGGAATAACCCCTGAGCATTGTCAGGTATGACCCAAAAAGCACACACACACACACACACACACACACACACACACACACACACACACACAAGAGAGTTCCTGATTCTTTCACGCAGCCCTTCCACAAGTGCAGGCAAGCCATGAGCACTGGGGCCGGAGTGATCGTACAGCAGGTAGGGCGCTTGCCTGGCACACAGCCGACTTGCGTTCCGTCTCCAGCATCCCATGTGGTCCCCCAGGCACCCCCAGGAGTAATGCTGGCCATGTATGGTGCCAAGGATTGAACCAGGGCTGGCTGTGGGTAAGACTCCCTGCCCTATCTCTCCAGTCCCTGGAAAGGGCTCTTTTCACCCTTGCATGGGAGATACGAGCCTTAGAATTGCACACGGGAAGGTGACTAAGCACTTCGACATTCAGCGACTTTTTTTTTTTATTCAACATCCTGATTTTAGGATTTAGGTCCCTCTCTCAACCATCCCCAGTCCCTTGGTCCAGAGATCATCTCTTTAATTGCTCAAGAGAACAGACCTCTGTCTAGTTCTTCCCTCAGAGGAAAAGCGACAGTGGCCTCTGGGCAAGAAGAGGGCACAGAATCAGAAACAGTAGCTCCAACTTGTTTGTTTTTTTTTTTGGTGGGGGGGGGGCAGTGGGCACCCGGCAGTGCTCTTGGGTCATTCCTGGCTCTGCACTCAGGAATTATTCCTGGCAGTGCTCCGAGGACAATATGGGGTGCTGGGGATTGAGCCCAGGCTGGCCGCCGGCAAAGCAAGCATCCTACCTGCTGTGTTGTGACTCTGGCTCCTTTTGGGGTTGTGTGTGTGTGTGTGTGTGTGTGTGTGTGTGTGTGTGTGTGTGTGTTTGGGCCACACCTGGCAGGCAGTACTCAGGGCTCACTCCTGGTTCTGTGCTAGGGCTCACTCCTGGTGGGTTTATGGGATCGAACCAGGGTGTTAATCTCTGTGCAATCTTTCTGGTCCCTGCTTCTTGTGAGACACTGATGAATCTTACGACATGGTGATGAATCTTCTTCAGTTCCAACTCAACTTCTGTCTTCAAGGTACCTGGTGCTGCTGACCTCTGACCTCTCTGAAGGGTTTTATGGTCTAAATAGAGCGGACTTTGGCTTTTCCTATGGTCAGTTTCAAGGCACGTTTGCTTATTTTGAGTCAGCTAAGTCCCTTATCGTGTCTCAATTTGGTTTCCTTTCCCCAAATTATATTATGATTGTCTCCCCTCCTGCTGTGGTTTTTATATCCTTTTTTTTTATATCTTTAAAAAATTCTTTAATCCTGGTGTCATCTGAGGATGCTTTCATGAAGAAATTTAAATTGTATTCTGATTGCCGTCATCAGGAATCTGAGTTTAAAAAATTCAATCTTTTCTCATTTGTTTGAAATATTTGAGATTATCACGTAGACTTCTACACACTTCGTGTTTTCCAGAAACTGCACCCTTCATCTGTGATCATTTTGGTTTAGGGAGGTGGACTTTCTCCCTGACCAAGACAGTCTTTCAGAAAAAAAAAAAATTTTCCCTATTGGTTTTTGAAAGGCATCTTCAAAAGCAAATCCAAATCCCAAGCAAATCCGAAGCAGAGGCGTCCCCACTGTTTGACGCGTTAGCACCACCTTGTGGCGCTGAGGGGAAAGGCGGGAGCGGAAGCAGCAATTTGACAATCCAAGTCGAAAAAGTTGGCCAGGGCGAAGCGGGGAGGATGACTCAACAGGCTGGAGCACCCCGTATCCCATTCCATTTTCCAACCATTAAGTTCGTTTCTTTCCTTTTCCAAGATATCCCCCTCTCCATCCTCCATTTCAGTTTTCTTCTTCTCCTCTCTCCACCCCTCACCCTTCCCTCTCATTCTCTTTCTTGTCTCCCTTTCCTTCCCTTCCCTTCCCTTCCCTTCCCTTCCCTTCCCCCCCTCCCCTCCCCTCCCCTTCCCTTCCCTTTCCCCTTTTCCTCCTCCTTCTTCTTCACAGAATAGGTTTTCTTTTTAATTTCCAGAATAAGAGTTTTCTTTTATTTAAATTTATCTATTATTTGAACAAATATTTTTTATTTAAAAAATTTTTTTAAGACACCATGGTTTACAACTCATATTTTATCTTCCAAGAGGGCTGACAGGCCAATACGCCTTTTGCCATCATCTCTTTGTGCTTTGATGCTCTAGTTCCTAGACCTTTCAGAGAACAGTAAAAAAAATTCCAAACCACTTGGACTCATTTCTGACTCATGCTCGGTTCCCTGGGCTGTCCACTGCTATGTCCGTGGGGACAGACCCACATGTCTGATCCTGTGACCCAGGAGGTTGGAACCCTGCCCGCTCCCCAGGGTGGATGAGGGAGGATCCAGAGAGTCCTGATGGCCCCCTCCGCCAGAGGGGGCGCCTGCTCACCTTCATGGAGTCCGAGTAGAGGATGTACTCCCTGAGCACGGGCAGGAAGTCCTCCGTCATGTCGTCTGTCAGCTCTTCCAAGGCTGTCGAGCAGTTGCCGATGCATGCGGACACCCCCTCCAGGGGTCTGGCCAGTTCCCCCTCCAGGGCGCTCCATGTGGAGTACACGGGTCCATACTCTCTCAGCTCCACGAGGTACTCTGGAGAGGGGAGAAAGTCATGAGAACACGGCCGGGTAGCAGTGACCTGGGAGCGTCCGGGAGCAGCACCACGGGGAAAAGCAGTAATGTCGGGGAAAAATCCTAAGGATATCAAGGTCCTAAGCCTGGGATCATAGGAACAAGTAAATGGGGCTGGAGTGATAGTACAGCGAATAGGGTGTTTGCCTTTTACAAGGCCAACCTGGGTTCGATTCCCAGCATCCCATATGGTCTCCCAAGCATGGCCAGGAGTAATTCCTAAGTGCATGAGGCAGGAGTAAACCCTGTGCATCGCCAGGTGTGACCCATGAATCAAAACAAACAAACAAAAAGAAACCAAGTAAATAAAGTCAATGATGGTTGGAAGGCTTGTTCGGGATGGTAGATGCGTGCTGAAAGTAGACTATGGACCAAACATGATGGCCGCTTAGTACCTGTACTGCAAACCATAAAACCCAGAAGGAGAGAGAAAGAGGGAATGTGCCTGCCACAGAGGCAGGGGGGATGAGAGGTGGGGGTGACGGAGAGGGATACAGGAAACATTGGTGGTGGAGAACAGGCACAGGTGGAGGGATGGGTACTTGAACATTGTATGGCCAAAACGTAATCATGCAAGCTTGTAAGTCTGGAACTGTATCTCATGAAAAACAAATTAAAATGAAAAAAAAATTAACAACAACAACTACAAAAAGAGCAAGTAAATACAATGCACGGGGCTAGCAACACTAAAGTGTGTTTTCTTGGCTGTCCACTCCTCCCACACGCTTGCCTGTATTTTTTTTTTCCTTTTTGGGTCACACCCAGCGATGCACAGGGGTTACTCCTGGTTCATGCACTCAGGGATTACTCCTGGCCGTGCTCAGGGAACTATATGGGATGCTGGGAATCGAACCCGGGTTGGGCCGCATGCAAGGGAAACGCCCTACCCGTTGTGCTATCACTCCAGTTCCTTGCCTGTATTTTTTATGCCTGCAGGTGTTTTTTGTTTTGTTTACATGTTGTAAGCTTTGGGTTGATGGTTTTATTCTGTTTTATTTATTAATTTTTTTCCATTTTCATTTTTGGTTTGATTTGAGGAAATGGCTGTTTACAACACTGTGTATAGTGTCAGGATAGTTTCACACGTCTTCAAATGAACGTTGCCACGGCCACCCGAAGTTCCTTCCCATCACCTTCGCTCTCCACTGGTCCCCGCTGCCAGAACCCCAGAGTTTGTTCAGGTTTGGTTTTATCTGAGCATACTCTCTCCTTAAGCTTACCTGGCTAGTAACATGATTTCTTTTCCATCTCTAAAAGCTAGTGTTAATGAACACAGCCAACACAAGCTCAACTCCTTTTGGGTTGGTTTTGGGACACCACCGGGCCACACCCGGCTGTACTCAGGGCTGACTCCTGGTGAGGCTCAGGGGACCCTCTCTGGTGCCCAGGCTGATGAGGCTTTGCCCACTGACCTCTGTCTCCCGCCCTCACCTATTTCTTCCTTGATGATCCGCTGGGCAATGCGATCGATGGTTCCCAGCTTGAGAGCAAACGTGTCCAGGTACTCGCCGATGGCTGCGAACTCCAGGGGCCGACTCCTCAGCTTGTAGCTGCTGGTGACGTGCCGGACCGACTCGCCGACGCGCGTCAGCAGCGCCATCCCCTGCTTCTTGTGGGCATTCAGGTCCTAGGGAGGAGGACAGGAGGACAGACGGGCTCAGTGGGTTCTGGCACGGGGACAGAAGCAGGCCGGCCGTGTCTGGGGGGCTCCCGACAGAAACGGAGCAGGCACTGAGCTCTGGGCCACCGCCCTGGCCCACCTCCTTGGCACTGGCTCTCTTCCCAACACACACACACACACACACACACACACTAATTAACCAACAAATTAATTAATTTGGGGTCAGTGGGTCACACCTGGCGATCCTCAAGGGTGACCCCTGGTGGTGCTCTTGGGGACCATACTGCACTGAAGCACTGCACTGTCCTCCCATTCATTGATTTGCTCAAGCCGGCACCAGTAACGTCTCACAATTTGTTGTTACTGTTTTTGGCATATTGAATAAGACACAGGGAGCTTGCCAGGCTCTGCCGTGCGGGCGAGATACTCTCGGTAGCTTGTCGGGCTCTCCGAGAGGGGCGGAGGAATCAAACCTGGGTCGGCCATGTCGGCCGCGTGCAAGGCAAACACCTTACCCGCTGTGCTATTGCTATTAAGGTTTGTATTACTGGAAAATTGCTATGTTGATCAAAGGGATGGTTTTTCCTTTTCCCATTTTGTTTTATACAGAAGTTTGTTATTGATCAACTTACATCCTATAATTCGAGTAATTAAATATTTCTGAGTTGAAAGAAAGAGAAACTGAAAAATTAAAAGAGCAGGGGAAGGAGAAAGGCAGGGTGGGGGTGAAAGGAGGGAGCTAGAGAGAGAGAGAGAGAGAGAGAGATGCATTCCATGGGACATTTTTAGAAGTCAACCAATGGGATTTTGAAAAAGCTGTTTCTGTTAAAACCAAGTACAATTTTGTAATTTAGACAAATCAGTTTCCTAATAATTGCTCAGCCAATAAAATGTTTTAAAAACACAAGTAAAATAAAAGTTAACTCTGGTGTCAGTGAACTATTTGATTCTCATTAATTAGTTTTTGGTCACTCAACACTAACTTAAATCACAGCATTACATTTTTAGAATTAGTGAATTAGAATCTGAATTAAATTAGAATTAGAATTTAGAATTAGATTTAGAATTTGGAATTAGAATTCAGAAATTAGAATTCAGAATTAGAATTAATTTTAAATATACTAACTAGTTTCTATACTGACTAGTTTCCTTGCCATTTTTCTGTATCTGGGTCTCATTTGTCACATCATTTCTATCTGACTTCATCAGGGGGACCATTTACGTGCTGAGAATTGAACCAGGGTGGGTGGGAGGCCAGGCGAGCACTAAACCTGCTGTGCTCTCTCTCGGGTCCTTAATTAAATTTCTAAGCAAATGAAATAAAGAAAAAAAGAACATGTGTCCCTCTCTTTCATATCAAATGTCTTAAGTTGTTTTGAGGAAGAAAATGTGAGTGCCGAGATGCCGACATTCATTGACCAATCTTTCCCCCAAATTCCTTGCCGGAAAGCAGAGAACAGTGGGTGGGGAGCAGAAAACAAGAGACAGGATGGCAGGAAGAGGGGGTAGGAGGACCGACCAAAATCTCAAGGCCAAGGATGCTGCTGTAGGGGCTGGAGCAATAGTACAGGCGGGGAGCGTGTTTGCCTTGCACGCTGCCAACCCAGGTCCGATCCCAGGCATCATTCTGTATGATCCTCTGAGCACCGTCAGGAGTGAGCCCTGAGCACAGAGCCAGGAGGAAGCCCTGAGCACTGCCAAAAGCCAAAAAAGAAAAGAAAGTAAAGAAAAGGAAAAGAAAGGGGGAGAAAGAAAAGAAAGGAAAGAAAAGAAAAAGAAAAGACAAATTCTGTAACAAAAAAAAACCCTCTTTCACCCCAAACCCCTTGGTCAAGGCCTTGGTGGGGCTCCCATGGATCTAGACTTCAGGAGCAAAATCTGTGGGCCCAGGAGGTAGAACATCCATGGGGGTTCACGCCTGGCACGCGCCTAACCCGGGTTCAGTTCCTGGCAGCACAAGGTCCTCGAGCATGGCCAGGTACAGCCCTAGAGCGACTCGGGTAGGCCCTGCATTGTAGGATCCAACAGCATGACACCCTCGGGTCCTGGGGCTGAAGGGGCAGCCCTGAGAATCCTGCCGGGAACACTAAATGGGTCCGCAGTACTGCCAGGGGGTGCTGGGTCACTCGCTCCCACGATACCCTCAGACGTGGCTTCAGAGGGAGCCGAGGCAACGTTCAAGTGGCAGAGCACATGCCAGGAATATGCCGGGCCCCGGGTTCAATGCCCAGCACTCCAGACGGCCCCCCAGTTTTGAGAGATACTTTTCCAGAAGAGGCAGACGGCTGTGCCTGATATTCATATTCTCCACACAAGCAGAACGTGAAAACAATTTATTTATTTTGCCTGTGTTGCTTCCTTTGCTAGTACATATGTGTACATATACATACATGTAGGCCATCTCCTGCATATACATACACCATCATGTATGTACTAATATTCATAGTTTTAATGTAATATCATGATCAAATGCATTATTTGAGCTAATGCATGGGGTGTGAGCTGAAATACAATTGGGTGTGTAACATCTGTTAAGATATATTAAGGTTTTAGCAATTATAAATGTTAATAATCACACAGGTTAGCTGAGCTTCCTGTTCCATTGTACTATCTGCGTCCCGGCTGTTCACAGTCATCAAAACAACCTAGAGTGGGTTTAGTTATCCAGCATAATCTATGGAGTCATGTAGGCAATGTTTACGAAAAGTCTATTGCTCCCCCTTAGCGCCAAGGGCGGGCCTGCCAGGACAGCAGGGGACGGAGGACAGCAGACAATAGAAGGGGCAGGAGCCGGGGAGTCCCAGGGAGCAGCTGGCCCTGGCGCTGCCCGGCCAGACACAGTTCCCAGGCTCGGGGCCCCTCGCATGCCTTCCCGGTTTCACTTCCCCCCTCCGCAGCCAAGCTCTTCACTTCTGCTCAGGGTTCCCCCCTTCCTAGCCACCCCTCCCCCAGCAGGGCCCTCGCCTGGTCTCTGTCTACATGTTCCGGGCCAAACCCTTCTGCGCACGGGGGGATACAGCAAGGCAGGTACGTCCTGAGGAAAGGGTTCCCAGAAGCAGAGTGTGGGTGCCGCATGCTGGAGCCCCAGGTCCATGCCGGTACCACCTGGTTCTCCAGCACTGCCAGGGATAGCATCCTCCCTCGGCCGGAGCCACAAGCAGGCCAGGCACACTGCCGGGGGTGCACCCCCAGCCCCCAGAGAAAAGAACAAAACAGCAGCAACTTCGTCTTCTCCCTCCTTCCTTTCAAAGCAGGGCTGCCTGAGAGATTCCACCGCCTCGTAATAGCCTAATTCTCACCTAGATACTCAGTGATGCGTGGTCCCCCCACACACACACCAGACACCACGGGTTGGGGGGCGCGTGCAGCCCTGCAGGCCCCCAACTAACCCAGGGCTGAGTAGGAATCTGGACTCAGGCCCTTGTGCTGAACCAACAGCCCGGTTGGCTGAGTATTGCTGGTGGAATCCCCAGATTTCCTGAGCGGTGCTGAGGAGGCCCCCAATCTCCCCACCCCCCAAAAAAAACCCCAGAGGTACCGGGCTTTCACAAAACTATAAAAGGATGCCTTGGCAGTTTTGCATTGCTTTCGGAGACAGGATTTTTAGAGCAGGGCAGGATCTAAGAGGGGCGGTGGCCTGCACATGCTTTGGATTACACACGCTTCACTTCAAGCAGGACTTGCACAGAGAGAACCTCAGAGTTAAGGAACAAGGTGAATAAAGTTACTTAGTTACAAGGAGCCTGAGTTGTAGCTCAGCAAGGGAGGACGTGCGCTGCTGCGAGCTTGAAGCTGGATTCAACCCTGGCACCACAAGAATAAATCATCTTAAATGCTAAAAGACCGAAACAAATGCCAGGCTGAGGGGGCTTGAACAATAGCACAGCGGGTAGGGCAGGGCATTTGCCTAGTACTCGGCCAACCTGGGTTCGATTCCCAGCATCACATATGGTCGCCTGAGCACTGCCAGGGGTCATTCCTGAGTGCAGAGCCAGGAGTAACGCCTGTGCATCGCCGGGTATGATCCAAAAAGCAAAAAAAAAAAAAAAAAAAAAAAGCCAGGTTGAGGAGGGCAGCGGAGGGCTGGAGCATGGGCTCCAGTTTGATTCCTGCTACTTCCCGGTCTCTAAAGTGCCAAGAAATTTCCCCGAGCACTGAGCTATGCCAGAGGTGGCACCAAAATAAAACCTTTCATCGTGAGGAAGGAAAGTGCTTCTGCATCGGCTGGGGCAGAAAAGTATATGGGTCGGAATAAGGCCAAGATACTAAAGGGGCGTTAAAATATGGCGGGGCTGGGGCAGGGAGTGGATAGAGGCTCGGTGCTCAATGAGGACAGAGTTCCGGGTTCGCACCATGGCAAAACCTCTGGAGATCATTTGTACTACAGCGAGAGCATACTGCGTGGACTGGAGTTTATTTGGAGGGTGGCTGGGTGGTGAGCTTTGTTGTTGTTGCTCTTTCTTGGTGTAGGGTTTTGGGCTTGTGTGTCTTGTTTGTTTGTGGTTCCAGGGATCAATCAGGATGTGACACATGCCAAGTCCATGCTCTGCCACTGTGCACATATCCCTGGCCCCTGCAACGTCCCGCTTAAAATGGGTAAGACGACAAGCGGCGTGTTACATACATTTTGTAACTTCAAAGTAAAAAGGCGATTTCATTCATTTTGTTCAGCTGTACTGGGACTAGAATTCATTCTGCTTAAAAGCCCGATAATGCGGCAAGGTTGTGACTGGCACGTGGAAAGTCCTTTTCTCCCTCATCGTTTCGTACTGCCTGGCCCATAACAAATGCCACACAATCTTTCCCACTTTCTCTTCGCACGGATTCTGAGACCTCCCCGGGCCCAAGCCCCCCCCCCCTTTGTCTCTATGTTCAAGAAAGATGACAATGGAGCTGGAGGGCAGTACAACAGGTAGGGTGTTTGCCCTGCACGCGGTCGACCTGGGTTCGATTCCCAGCCTCCCATATGGTTCCCCGAGCACCACCAGGAGTGATTCCTGAGTGCAGAGCCAGGAGTAACCCCTGAGCATCGCCGGGTGTGACCCAAAAAGCCTAATAAATAAAATAAATTTTTAAAATTAAAAAAAAAGAAAGAACGATGACAAGGAGCTAGAGCAACAATACAGCAGGTAGGACGTTTGCCTTGCACACGGCCGATCCAGGTTCAATCCCCGGCATCCCATATGGTCCCCCAAGCCCACCAGAAGTGGTTCCTGAGTGTAGGGCCAGGAGCATGCCCTGAGCATCTCTGGGTGTGGCCTCCAAATCAAAACAGACAAATAAGCAAAAAAGGCTTGAGGGCCTGCCTGGATCAGAGGTATAACTGGGCTGACACCGGAATTACAAAGTACACTTTTAGAGAACAGGAGAGGTTTTACTTTGCCTAGACACTGAAAGAGACCCAGCCACCAAATTGCTTGGCTTTGAAAAAAGAGCACAAAGGTAACCTGCGGCAGAAAGGGCGGCAGGAGAAATGAAAGAAGATGAATGGGAATGTTACCCCAGAGGCTAAATGCCTGCTGCGGTTTTCTGAAAAGATACAAATCAAAAACCATCAAAGGACTTTGCCAAGTGGTTTCCACAGTCAGTCGGGAGAAAGGCGCCTCCCCCAGTATCCTCACCATCAACTAAGAATTTAGTTGACAGAGAATCTGGCCATGGGCTGGGCCCCACACCTCTCTGGCCAACACCTGCCAACACCCTCACTGTGGCGAGAAGATGCTGAACTCCTGGCATCGGGCTGAAGGATGTGGAGAGAAAACGGGCTCTGAAGAGCCGACAGCCCTTATGTGTGGCACCCCTTGGGTAAGAAGAAAATTCCTGCCAGTCAGGTTCCTCAGCTGTATCCGAGGTGAGCCCTGAATGCCCTCAGGCGGCTGTGAGGAGCCTTCTCACCACCTATCAGGGCTCCCTTCCTCCCTCCTGTGCCACTGCTGCTCGGACCCATTCACCCTACCTCAGTTCTGCTGCTCCCACTGGGAAGAGTCTCCAGCATCTCCCAGAGACATGCATGGAAGCCTCGACACCCCAAGCCCTACCTGTGACAGCTCAAGGGGGCTGGAGAGAGAGTCTGAAGGCCAGCGCAGGAGGAAAGAGGAGAGAGTCTTCTTACCTTGGCTGTCAGGAAGACATGCAAGTGTTCATTGAAGGAGAGCACGGGGTGGTCTGTGATCCTCTTCAGGAATTTATCCAAAGCTTTTCTTCTGGTCTCCACGAACTCTTCTGAGAAACGGTCCACCACACCCTTCACCACAAACTTCTCGGGAAGAGGCTATGGAGATGAGGAGAAGATGGTTCAGAGGAACTGATGAGGCTTAAGAACACCAGGATCCCCCCAAGCCCCCATATTCTGTCAGGGAAGAACCTTAGCTCTCTCATGGACGTTTCACTGCATTTTATTTGGGGGCCACACATGTTCAGGGATCCGTGATCTCAGAGATCACTCCTGATGATGCCCAGGGGACCCCCTAAAGTGTGTCAGGGCTTGAAGTGGGGTTGATCACATGCAAGGCTGGTGCCTTAGTCCTTGTACCTCTCTCTGACCTAAAGAACTGTACTGAACACAACCGTATTTAACTGCATTTTAATACAGCAGACTTTTACGCAGTCTGTAAAAATCATTCTGGAAAATACAGCCACAGTCAATGCCAACTGCTCTACTGACTTTAGGACACAAGAACTAGACGTACCCCCTCGCCCCTCAGCAAGGGTGGGTATGGCCCTGGTGGTACCCAGCACTGACGGGCCTGAGCAACACGGCATCACTTGGCCTGAGCAAACCACCTGGGCCAGTTGGCAGAACATCTCCAGCGTGGCCCCCAAGTCCCCTGAGAACTGTCTGGGAGCTCCCCACAAGCCTCCCCCTACACACACACACACACACACACACACACACACACACACACACAAAGGGGAAAGAACTAGAACACTGGACCATTGACCGTGGAATCCAGAAAACAATCGGTCTTTATCCAGTAAGCCCGATGGCACAGATCTCTTTACACAGCTAATACTGAGGCAATATAAGGAGAAAGTGAGAGTGAAAAAGCAAGCTAGTCAGGGAAAACAAACTGTATCAGCCCACAGAAATGTATTGAAGGGTGTGATGATTCCACCCCCAGTTTGCTGGTAAAAGAATCAAGGGTAAGAAAGCTTTTCTAATGAGAACTGTTTAAAAGTTTGATACTTTTAAATAGTTTGGTTTTTTTTTTTGCTTACTCTTGGAGTGGTGACTCTACAAATATGTAATAAATTGTTTTTTGATTCTATATTCTGTCTACAGTTGAGTATACCTTATTCTTTTGTGCTTTAATAGGATGGAATGTTTACAGGCCTTGATGATATTAGAGTATTTTTTAAGAACCTTCTGAAGATGTATACCAAAGTTTTCCAAGAGGATATTATAATCAATTTAAGGTTTTATCAGATTCTAAAATAGCTGTTATTAAGGCAATTTTATGTTAGAGACTATTTTGTAATGTAGTGAATTTATATAAGAAAAGCAACTGCCAATATATTTTTATAGCTAATCTTTACAAATTCTAATGCTGAGTTTTTAAATGATTATTTTAAATGTTTATGTAGTTTTAGTAAAAATATTTTGCATCTCAAAGTATGATTTTTATATTATGGGAAGTAAAGTTTCTTGATTGGCTAATATTTGAATTGTAAGTTTTATATGCAACTCATCCAAAGTTTAAACCTGCTGTCGATACATCAGTGTTTAACTTCTGTATTCCAAATGACATATATTTTGAAATTGTACTGCATAACTGTTGTGCACTTCTTAACACAATATGTATCATATTGTCTATGAAATTAAAAGACATTTGATAAAGTAAAAAAAAAAGAAAATTTTTCTAAGTTGATTTTTTTCAACTTAGGTTGATGTGCAAAAAGTTGTCGGAGATGATTACACTTAGTTAAAAAGATGAGGGGCCAGAGCAATAGTACTGTGGGTCGGGTGTTTGCCTTGCACACGGTGAACCCAGGTTCAATCCCTGGCACCCAATACGGTCTCACAAAAAAAAGGTAGACTGAGAAGAGGGGCTGGATATGTAATTTGTGGTTTCCTTTACTTCCTGGAAAGCCGGCACCACTACGGGGAAAACTCCCGGGGTCTTATAACGGCTCTTATCTCAGCTACTCGAGAAGATTCCTTTGAGATAAATGCCCTTTAGAGAATTCTGTCCCTTCAGTCCCCAGTAATAGCATGTCCTGGTCAGCTTAGCATAGATGGGCAAACGTCTGTAAATGTTTGCCCTTGCTCCTCCTTTGACTGTGGGTCTAAGAGTACAAATATGGAATGCGATGAGAATCAGGTGTGTGAGCACTCCCGGCCCCACGCTTTTCTGTCTGTTTTGTTTTCTTAATCCTCATGGTATCCCATCTTCAGACTCTGCCATCGGGACAGGTCCTGATGAATGTTTAAAAGCTGTTTAAAACATGCCCCACTAGCTGCCTCGGAGCTTTTTGGAAAGCCAGGTATGAGCGGTTGTGATGGGGCGACTGAAACCTCACGGGGGTCACGAGTTGCCCCCCACGAGCGGCTGTCCAGCACAGCCATGGCTCTAGAGCCACAGAAGCCAATCTTATAATTATCTGACTCTTGGCAGAAATACTTCCGGGCTTAATAAGTAAAATATCAGAAATCCAAAATCTCGCAGCCGCGACATCATTTGGTTCTTGCAACCAGCTGTAGAAAACAAATGATTTCACAATGCCTTTTTAGCAGGTCTGATTTGGGGCTGTAAACTCTAAATAATAATGGTGCATCTTTTGTCGAAACAATGAATCTAATCATAGTAGATAGAGTGTTAACTAGAATTTATCTGCCTCACAGGCATTGGGAGGGTTGGAGGGGGTATATTGGGGTTCTTGGTGGTGAAAAATGAGTACTGGTGAAGGGAAATGTGTTTGATGATTGCATGACCGAGACTTAAACCTGAAAGCTTTGTAACTTTTACCACAGTTATTCAATAAATAAATTAACTAAAAAAAAAAAACATGCCCCACTAAAAGTTCTCTATCCTATTTAATTGAGCCAGTACTGTCAGCAACTTAAAGCTATCTCACTGACAAGGGAGCTCTGAGTTCTGACCTATTTCCATGGTCGCTTGATCAATGACTCAGTTACTAGGCCTTCCCCCTTACTTCCACCACACAGGGTAAGTGTCTCCAAATGCCTGGCTTGAAAATGCGTTGGTTATGACATAGTAAGAGAACCTTTACATTAGGAAAAGGGCAAATGATGCGCCCAGAGAGATAGGAAAGGGGCTGAGGCCTTTGCTTTGCACAGTGCAGATGCCAGCTTGATCCCCGGTACCACAAAGGGCCCCCTGAGCCCCCACAGGAGTGATTTCTGGGCTCCGAGCCAGAAGCAAACCCTGAGCACCGCCAGGTACAATCCAAAAGCAAACAAACAAAAAGGAAAAAGAATAGAAGTCGGGGAATCGTCTGCTATTTCTCCAAAGAAAGTATACAAGTGGCCAGCAGGAACAGGAAAATGCAGACATTCCCCTGTTTAGGGGGAAAAAAACCGAAGTCACAGGTGCCGTCACCTCACCCTGACCAGGCCTGTGGACGCACCCCCAAGTTCTCCCACAACGCTGCTGCCTCTGCGGCATCGCCGCACCTGGTTTATCAGCTCCCCCAAAACTGGTTCATAACCTTCCATCACATAATCGCATAACGGTATAGGCGGCACCAACAGCATGATGGTGCACATCTGTCTCCTGGCCCGCCTGGTGCCAGGAGCTTAAGCACTGACAGTGTGCGTCAACAAGTCCATTAACGACCACTCCCGCCCTTCTTGCAAGAAGTAAATGAGCACTGGTTATCCACTGATCCCCACAGGCAACATGGACCGCTCATTCTCGTGCCGTGAAGTGTGTGATCATAAACAGTCGGGACCGGGCTGGGGTGAGGTGGGCCGGGGAGGGAAGCTGGGGACACTGGTGGTGGGAAATGTATCCTGGAGAAGGGGTGGGCGTTGGAACAGTAAGTGACTGAAACCCAACCAGAACAATTTGTTAACAGTGTGTCTCACTGTGATTCAATTAAAAAAATAACATAAATGAATCCACAAAGGTCAGGGCAAAAAGTGATCAGAAAAGCTGGAATTTCTAATGTCCTTGACTGGTTTTTCTCAACTGCAGGCCACAGAGCAACACCCCCCCTCCCCACACACACACACACACACCTCACTCCCCACCCCCAACCCCGAGTCCCTAGGAAATTCCTTATGGGGACGGGGTCAGCTATCCCTAACCCATTTCCTAATTCTAATCTTCTCCATTCTCACCGTCTCCTTCAACCTTTCAGAAAATAAGCATTGTCTGTGCTTCCACTCCTGCCTTCGATTTCTCAGTCCCCAGCACAAAACCCTCTTTGGCACTGCCTCCAAATGCCGCTCACACTTGCCACTGTTACACTGCTCTGGAAAGATGATCCATGACCGTCTCCTTCCTAAAAGCAATTGATACTCCTCGGATCTTAAGACTCTTCCGGTGCCTTGTGCTCTCCACTGACCAAACTGAATTTAGGAGGAAGTTGGGAGGAACGGGAAGGAGCGGCTACACGGTCTGGGGTGCCTCATGTGAAGCCCTGGAGGCCTCAGGAAGAGCTCTCCATTCTTCAGACACAGTGCACTGATCTACTTAAACACGAAGCTTGCTACTTCCAGGAACCCCCGGGTTGTGCAAACAGAATTTCCGTCTGTATTAAGCATTATTGCTTGCCAGTGTACTCAGGGGCTCCACACAGCTGTTCCTTCTCTCGCTCAGGGTGCCTTAGAGGAGAGCACCCATCGTTAGCCTCACCCTTAGCATGAGCTTCTGGGTTGCTGTGCATGGAGGTCAGGGTTGCTGGTGATATTTACAGCCTTTAAATAATACAAGTGAGTGATAAGAAAGACCGCAAATGAAGACCTTGATACAGCTCCAAGCCATGAGAGATCATCAGATGAATGCCACACATCCTTACTAGTTTTCTTTTCCTTCCTTCCTTCCTTCCCTCCTTCCTTCCTTCCTTCCTTCCTTTCCTTCTTTTCTTCTTTCTTTCTCTTTCTTTCTTTCCTAAATTTTATTTTATTTTGCTTCTGTTTGGGGTGCACACCCAGCGATGCTCAGGACTTACTCCAGACTCCACACAGGGATCACTCATGGTGGGCTCAGGTGTTCACATGCGGTGCTGGGGACTGAACCCAAGTCAGCCGTGTGCAAGATGAGTGCCCTACCCACTGTACTATCTCTCCAGCACTCTTATTAGTTC